TTTATAGAATGAATTGCTATTTTTGGTAGGGTTCTGTATATTCCATTAAAAGAACCTTTCTGTATATAATATTTTCCTAATATTAATTATAATGTAGTATCAAAAAGGAAACTTTGTGTTTTTCAATTTTGATCAACACGGAATTGTAAATTCTGCCATAATTTTTCCATTTTTTTTTTTTTCCTATCTCGAGTTTTACCTTTATCATTTATAAATTTGGTGAAACAATAAGAAGTATTTAAACGACTTGATTTCTCTTTTGAACAGTAATTTTTCATACTAATAAAACAAACATATAATAAAAATTGTTATTGTTAATTGGAAAGGCTATCCTTATTTATTGATCTCAAGACTGTGTCATAATTATTCCACTGAAATCAAACATTGCAAGGTCACAATCCAACAATATCTCAAGGAAATAGTTCAAGTGAGTTTATGAAAAAGGTTCAAATAATTTTTTTTTTTAAGTAAATATTAATTGATAAATGGTTATATATATATAATCATCAGGAACATCTTTACCATCATAAAATAACTGTAAGGTATCAAGTATTGCAACATCATAACAACACGCTTGTTTATAAAAATAAGATAAAATGAATAATCCATTAATTATCTGTGGAAAGAAAAGCGCCATAACCGCTTGTAAACCGAAGTGTAATAGTCGAGAACCTTTGCGGAAGAAAAGAGGCAATACGGTTTTCCCTGATAATGCCACTTATTGAATAATTATAACAATAATGGCAAAAAATCTAAAAATTTATTGCATTATTAATATTAATTTCAATGTCAATACAAAGTATTTATAAATATGTAATTAATTAGGAAATATTTATTAAAATATTTAATCCTTTATTTTGTTAATATTAACGGCAGGTTTTATTTTCCGGCCCAATATATAATAATAATAACAATAATAATAATAAATGTATGGCGAGGGTTGCAATTTTCATATTTAACCATTAATTATTTTTATACGATGACATACTTTGCAAAAATGAGCTAAATACTTGCGTAATAACTGAAATTTTATAATTACTTTATAAGCCATCAATTATTGTTAGCTTGTATTTATTTACTCAATTCAAAAAAAATATGGGACTCAAATTTTTGGTTTCTACTCTCTAATCTCAAATAATTTTGAAAAAAATAATTCATTTTGGAAGTGATGGTGCATCTAATATGACTGGCTATAAAAGTGGTGTTGCTGCAAGACTTAAAAAAATAAATCCATTCATGTCATCTAATCATTGTGTATCACATAGACTTCATTTGGCTGGAAAAGATGCTTCAAATGAAGTATTATATTTTGA